TATTAGTATTAAACAAAAATTAAAAATAAAATAAAATAATAAAATTTTGTAAACTTACGGAAGATTCCAAAAAAAATTGGAAATATTTTCAATTGACACGAAATGGTTTGTGTTCTGTTCAAAATGCTCGATCATATTTTCATGGATACGTAGTTCAGTATCATTATCTTATAAATTGATTTTATTAAGATTATCTTTTAAGACTAAATAAAAATGACATAGATGACTTGAATTATATGCTTTATACGTGAGACAAAACATCGAAGCTTCAGGCCAATCAGAAATTATAACTGAAACTCAGAAAAAGAACTAAAATGTTTTATCAGATATTGTCAAATCAATACCATTATTGGATTTTAGGAGGGAATATAAAAGTACTTTTAGGAAATTATGGAAAGCTTCTCGTACTGCTCTCTTAAATTTGATAGATTTTTTATCAGAATTGTCACTTTCTAATAAAATTGATAAATATCCTAATAATTGTTTTGCATCAGGTTTGTTACGCTACCAATTTTTAATATTGCCAATAGTTACATATATAGGATGTAGTTGACTTTTTCCCAATGTATCAACATTTGTTGCATCAGAATATAATATCAAGGATAAAAGTTTTATGCCAATTGGTAAACATTCTTCAGTATTCTTCCATCACATGCCAGTATTTTGTTCGCTATATATTCTTTCTCTGTCAATTTTTAATTTATTTAAACATGATTATTGATATTAATGTGATTAAACGTAAATATTAAATTACATAAATTTAAATAATTACCTTAAGATTTTCAAAATTTAATGCAAAATTTTGCATTATATCAGGAATTGTCAAAATATTATTTATGCAATTTATAAAATTTAGATGATAAAGATAATATTCTATATTATTATAGATTATTATGCAAGTTTTTGGTAATCTAAATTTGGTTGATTCATATTATCCATAAATCGTCGTCCTTGTTCAGTTGATTTAGGTAGTGGGATGTAACAAGATTTGCATATTTAATAAAATATGAATTATTTCATTTCTTGTATTATTACTTAATTTATTTTTAATTAATAATGTCATAAAATCTTCGTATGCTTCATTAGGATAATTTACATTCATATCAGACTCAGGTTCTAAAATATCTTGGTTTATTATTGAATCTTCAAATATAATATTTTCAAAATTACTGTTATGATCATCACTTAAAAGTAATTCTTTAACAAGCGGAGGGAGATCTTTATATAAACTTTTATCATTCATCTAAAATAAATGATATATATGTTTATATTTAAAAATATTTAAAAAATTATATCACAATACTTTGTTAAAAAACGTACTTCAATAGAATTAAAAATCTCTTCACTTTCTAGCAAAATATTATTAATATCCATAATAGAATTATCACTTTTATCACTGATAGATTGATCGCAAATATTAACATGCTGGCTATACCCTGAACGACTACTAAATGTACGCTTACAAAATGGATGCTTGTAATTAACCATTTGTGATTTTATGTAAGTATGATGATTTAAAGTATTGTTAAATTTATTAATTTTATTTCCTTGATCCTATTCAAGGAGATATTGAAGTCTATATATAATGTTTTTTATCCATTAAAGGATGGTGAAATTTAATATTAAAATTAATATTTCTCGCTAAATGGCTTATATTTGCAGATAATTTCATACTCTAGTTTCTATGCTGTAGAAACTAATTTCGCTGAATTGATCTGCAAAAATATATTCAAATTAGAGTTCGTAGGCTTCAGATAGGTTTTGGATCATAGCCAAGCCAAACGTTTTGGATTTTGAAAAATAGTTTCGCCCAAAATACTAACTGTAACGCTCAGCAACTATTTTTAAGAAAATTTAATTTAATTAAAAAAATACATAAAATAATAAAAAAAAATTATAAAGATTTGTGAGATTATGCATTTTATCTAAT